GCACTTTCCTCCCTCAAGATGCCAGGCCTTTAATGCAGCCGCCTTCAGTTGCTGCTTGTTTGGGGCTTTTTCTATTTTCACAAAAAACATTTAATTCCTTAAATGTTCCTTTGGAACATTTCCAAAAGGTTCCAGACTTCAGGCTTTTATCAAGGTGGAGGGAATAATGAAAAGCTCCAAATACCAGTCAATTCTGGTGCAAAACCTTAAGGCTTCTGCTAAAACACTTAAGATGAAGAGGATTTCCAACTTTCAGCATGACAATGACCTGAAACACACCTCCAAATCAAGGTTTTGGAATGGCCCAGCAAGGGTTCAGATCTAAATCCACCCGAAACTGTGTAGGGTGACCTAAAGAAAGTTGTGCACAGGAGATACCCAGCTAATTTGACAGAGAATTTGACAGAATGCTTTTGCTAAGAAGAATGGCAAGTCAAGATGTGCCAAACTGACTCTTACCTAAAAAGACTGAATGCAGTGATAAAATCTAAAGGTGCTTCAACTAAATATTAATTTAGGATGTGCACACCAGGTTATTGTACATTTTTTTAACTTTCATTTCTTCCCTTAAACGATTCTTATTGTTTTTCACTTTAATTTATAGGTTGAATTTCACAATAAAGGTAGAAAAGGTTCTGACATTTACCTTGGTTTCTTTTTTTTTGCATCACAAAAACCTGCCATTTTAACAGAGAGGTGTAGACTCTACACTTCCACTGTAATGTTCACTGTAATATATTATTTCACAGTTTTAATTGCAGGAAAAGGTCAAGTGTAGAGAATACTGCCCTCCTACATTCAATAGAATGGTTTTACATAGAAAACACAACACGGTATTATCTTAAGTAAAACTACCAGCGATTTGATGCAGGGGTCAGTCTACACTCGTGAGTTTATTCCAGCCAACAGAGCTCACATACCAACAGATGAAACTGCAAAAGCTTGGTCCCATCTAGAGCACTTCCAAAAAGAGATAGTACCTCTGCAGGACTGCGAAATAGGTCTGCTTATTGGATACAATCTGAGGACTGGCAGATCATGCCTCTCAAGTTTTGACTGCAGAGCAACTTAAGACCTCAAACTGGTTCACGGGACAAAAGTTTCTTTGGCAAAAGGAACTACCTGACAGAGAATGCAAGGTGGGAGAAATTAAGGAAGATGATCCTGAATTCTGCAAAGCTCTTGTGTATAACAAGGCAAAGGAGGGAAAATCATTATTGGTTCATCTACAGAAATTCTCTGATTGGTCAAAGGGAGTAAAAGCAGTTGCCAGATTGAAATGACAAGTCAAAGAATACAAAGGTGTGAAGCAAAGATCCAACAAAAGTACAAACCTAGAAGAAAGGAGAGAAGTAGAACTTGCTAGTTCATCTAGTTCAAGAAGAAGCATTCTCAGATGAGATAAAGAGCTTGAAGCTAAAGAAAGTAGTTGTCAACACCAAAGACAAAGGCTGCACAAGTTAAGTCCATTCTTGGACAAAGACGGTATCCTAAGAGTGGGAGGACGCCTAAGTCAAGCCACTTTACACCCACACGTGAAGCACCCAGCAATACTCGCAAAGAACAATCAAATACCAGCTTTAATTATCAAGCACTTTCACAAAAGAGAACATCAAGGATGTGGAATGACAATGAATGAACTGTGAGCTAATGGATGGTAGATCTTGGGATGCAGCAATACAGTCTCTACACACATCTACAAATGTGTCAAATGCAAGATATACTGACATACTGAAGAACAGAGAATGGGTAACTTACTGCAAGATAGAATGGAAACAACTCGACCCTTTACTTAGACCAGCATAGACTGCTTCGGTCCGATTAGTATTAAAGATCTCAAGAGATACAGTCTCTTACCTATATTCAAGGGCCATTCACATAGAGATGATTGATGACATGACAACTGACCCATTTATCAATGCTTTAACAACGTCCATTGACATAAGAGGAAATGCTCATCAACTAAGACGTGACAAAGGAACCAATTTTGTTGGTGCACAAAGAGGGAGTTTACAGAACTCATGAAAGGAATGGATCAAAAAAGAGTGAAGGCTCTTGGATGTGAATTTCTTATGAACCTTCCATCGACAAGTCAGATGGGCGGCGTCTGGGAGAGGCAAATAAGAACCATAAGAAGTGTTCTTACTGCTGTTCTTGACCAGTCAGCACAAAGGCTCGACAATACCTCTTTAAGGACATCTTATACTAGGTCATCATTAATAGCACTCCACTCACCGCTGAACATCTGAATGACCCATCTGGACCTGAAGCTTTAACTCCAGACCACAACTTTACAATTAAGTCCACAATCATTCTGCCCCCACTTGGACAATTTATAAGAGAAGATCTTTACTGTCAGAACAATGTGGTGCCGAGTACAGTATTTCGCCAATGAGTTCTGGACTCAATGGAAGAAAGAATGTCTTTTGAACTTACAGTCAAGACAAAAGTGGTACAAGAACAGAAGGTACTTGAAGCTGAACAACATCATCCTTCTACAAGATTATCTGGCACCACACAACGAATGGAAGCCAGAATCACAGAAGTCTATCCAGGGTCAGATACTAGGGTGAGAAAACTAAGACTGCCGGTTAGTGACACCACACTTGACAATAAGGAAAACCCGCAACTAAAACGGTGTTCCTTGAAAGACCTGTACAGAAGGTTAGAAGTTCCAGGTTAAATGGTTAATAACAGGAAATTTTTATTATGAAAAGTTTCCAATTTCATAATTGGAAATAATACATTATTTCATTTACTATAAGTAATAGTACTTTTATTTTGAAGGCTCAGCTCAAATTCTGTGGGGCTGATCTTGCATGAGTAAGGCAGATTCTGCAAGTAAGCAGCAAGCATGGACATTGTGTACACGCTGGTGAAAAGCTTATGCTAGTCATAAAGGACTTTAACAAGATGTGAACGGTTATATGGAAGACTTGTAGCATATGTCAGTCTTAGGACAGAGCCATGGCCAGGGAGCAGACCAACAGGCTAAACCAACTGTCAGGTAGCTGCTTTTAGACATCACTTAGGTTATGCCATACTGAGACTGTATCAGTTCCCTGAGCTAAACAAAAATGTAGAAGTATTCAAACGATTTTTAGTAATCAAATTAACAAAATTAGATCACAATGAATACACAGTCAGCACCTTTGATCTAAAGCTAGGACTGCTTAATATTAGTTCTCTTCTAAAGCCCTTACTGTAAATGAAACCATTACTGATCAGGGATTTAATGTAGTTTGTTTGACAGAAACTTGGGTTAGACAAAGTAAGTACGTAACTTTAAAAGATGCTAACCCCCCTGGATACAGCTACAATTAGGTCCATAAATATTTGGACATTAACTACTTTAATCTGAAAGTATTTATATCTAAATGGGGTGAACGATGTAGGAATTACAGCACTTTTTATGTGTGGTCCATTAGCAATCTAAACCTTCTTTAAAGCTACTGTGACAATGTCCACATTGTTAAAAGCACTATGTAAATACTACTGAATTGATTTGAAGTACACAGAATTCAGTGTCAACAGGCAAAAGGGCACATTCAGTGTTACTGGTTGAATCACAGTTTCTAACCTTATTTGGGCTGCCGCCATTTTAAGTGTGGCTGTCACAGCTGGACCAGAGCCTGCTGGCTGTGTCAGTGAGCTGGTGGAGGCTAATCCAGGCCCCTCCCTGGGCACTATCAATTCCAGAGTCGAAGCAAGGCGGCTCAGTTTCCAGTTTGTCCTCCAGCTAGAAGAGTCTCCTGGACGCAGACATGAACAAGCACCAAATGGGGTGCTTCGACCTTGAGCTATCAGGAGGGCACTACTGAAGGACATGAGCCTCAGTGTGTGGCTTCAGCCCTAAAATTAGTGATTCTAATTTTCCCTATGCTCCGAGAGACCCTCAAATAATTTCTTTGGATTTTTTCGTGTGTTTGGCAGTGCCTTAATGTTTGGGGTTAGGGTAAGGTGTCACAGTTACTCATAATGATACTCTAGGCATTACACAAAAATCTGGATATGACAACTAGTTTGGAGTGGTTAACCCTAACATAATCCACATAGCCACTAAAAATAAGCCAATTCAATTGTTTCCATTAATTAGTATTTACAGAGCACAAAGGCCATATTCTGAATTTCTACTGGAATTAGACCAGTAAACCTGGTTGTTTTGCCTGAAGACGCAGTAATTGTTGGAGACTTTAATATTCATTTTGATAATCAAAAAGCCCTTCTGACAACAGTGTTTGTGTCCATTTTAGACTCAGTAGAGGTCAATCAGAATATAATAGGACCCACTCATTATGGTGGACACACCCTTGATTTAAAACTGACATTTGGATTAAATATGTAAAATAGCCTTGTTCCGATACCTCGGACACTGCAGCATGTACGCTAACAAGCTAAGATAGTAACTGGAGAACACCCTAAAATAAGTTACATATGTTAAATAGCCTTGTTCCGATACCTCGGACACTGCAGCATGTACGCTAACAAGCTAAGATAGTAACTGGAGAACACCCTAAAATAAGTTACAGACTCAAAAGGCTCAGACAGCGAAGGAAACAAATATAATGAAGAGAAAGAACAGGAGAAAGAACAGGAGTCTATCACAGGTTTGGAAACTGAAATACTGTAATTCCAACCACAGTCACAGTCAAGGTGCACAGGACAGCTCCAACATCTACAGGCAAATCCACACATGCACAAGGTGAGTTAGAGAAAAGGAAAAAAAAGTGACATGGTGTGAAGGTGTTTATAGCAAATACATCATCATTTTCACTTCGTCACAAAGGTGTATGCATATAGACACTAGAGTATATCCAGGTGTTAGGGGTGAAATAGAACTGGCTTCCACTACAAATCATGGGAACATTCAAACATTAAGAAAAACGTGGATAACAGTTGTTTTTATTTGTTTAATTACACTGGTTTGCTTCTTCTCCTTCCTTCCTTTTTCTCCCTTCCAGGAAACATATACAGTATATATGTATGTGTCTATATATTCATTCCCTAACCAGGAATCGAACCCGGGCCACAGCGGTAAGAGTACTGTGGCCAACCACTAGTCCAACAGGGACCTTGTGTATGTGTGTGTGTGTATGTATGTATGTATGTGTCATATATATATATATATATATATATATATATATATATATATATATACACACACATACACACACACACACACACACACATACACACACAATATATATATTAAATATATATATATATATATATATATATATATATATATATATATATACAGTCAGATCCGGAAGTATTTGGTAAGTGAAAGGCATGCTCTATTGGATTGAGATCAGGCGACTGATTTGGCCATTGAAGAATATTCCATTTTCCGCAGTCAATTGTCCAAATACCTTCGAGCCCCTGAAAATGGAAGTACTTTGCTGAAATGGTAAATGCCATATTTTTGTGGAACCACTTAAAATAAAGCTGAAAGTCTACACTTTGATCACATCTTGATTGTTTTATTTCAAATCCATTGTGGTGGTGTATAAAGGCAAAATCACAAAAACTCCTTCATTGTCCAAATACTTCAGGACCTAGGACCCAGAACTGTAATATATACACTAGTCAACATTTGAAGTGGATCAAAACCTTTCGTCAAAGTGTCAAATGTGTTTCTTTCACAATTCATGCATAACATGTAAGTCTGTTATTTGTCAGTGTTGTCATTAATGAAATGTCATCCTTCATGGCTTTTGATGGTCTCCAGACATGATTGTTTGTCATTAGGTACCAATTGACCTGTCACAGGTGTCCGTAATTGGGAACTGCTCATCATTTAAGGCTCTGAAAGCTTCACTTGAGGTCAGAAAGCATTGAAAATGCCACGTTTAGTGACATTGCAGGATTCTGACCTCAACAGGGCCATTGGGATGCTGCAAGGAGGCATGACTCTCAAAGTGTCCTTTCCAGAGCCTGGAACAGGTTCAGGTCTGGTAGTGACCTTCTGGAGGCAACAGGGGTGCGAGTGTCCACTCAGACTGTGAGGAGACAACTTCATAAAGTTGGCTTGAAAGCCAGAAGCAGCTGTGAGGGTGCCTCTTTCCAGAGCACATAAACTGGCACGTCTGCAGTGGGCCACAGAAAACCGCAGGTGTACACTGAATGAGTGGGGTACAGTGCTCTTCACAGATGAGTCCGGGTTTTGTGTGAACTTCCTAGAAGGCGTAGGAGGGTCTGGCGTCGCCCTGGGGAGAGAAATTTGGCACAAATTGTTGTACAGCCTGACAGTTTTGGAGGATCATCGGTCATGGTTTGGGGAGGCATCTCCATGAGTGGAAGGACAAGCTTGTCATCATCGAAAATGGCAGCCTGACAGGCCAAAAATATAGGGATGAAATCCTGAGACCAGATTTCGTGCTTATGGATGACAACGCCCGCCCAAATCGAGCAAGGCTGGTGATGGAATTCTTGGAGGAGGAGGGCATCTCAAGGATGGAATGGCCAGCCCGGTCACCTGACTTGAACCCCATTGAACACATTTGGGAGCAACTACAGTCAAGAATGCAAGCACGCCAGGTCCCTCCTGGCAAGCCATCCCACAACAGAATATTCAAAAACTCATCTCAATAATGCACAGTCGATGTGAGGCTGTGATCAATGTCAGAGGTGGTATCACTGACTACTGACTGGTTGTCTCAATGAACTTGGTTGACTAAGTCACCAACAGTGTCACCAGCAAAGCACCCCCACACCATCACACCTTCTCCTCCATGCTTCACAGTGGGAACCACATATTCAGGAACCATCCGTTCACCCTCTCTATGTCTATAAAAGACACAGTGGTTAGAACCAAAAATCTCAAATTTGGACTCATCAGACCAAAGGACAGTTTTCCACTGATCTAATGTCTATTCCTTGTGTTTCTTGGCCCAAGCAAGTCTCTTCTTCTTGTTAATTCGACCATGAAGGCCTGACTCATGCAATCTCCTCTGAACAGTGGATGTTGAAATATGTCTGTCACTTGAACTCCAAGAAGCATTTATGTGGGCTGTAATCTGAGGTGCTGTAAATCGGTTTCAGAGGCTGGTAAGTCTAATAAACTTATCCTCTGCAGCAGAGGTAGTTCTCGGTCTTCCTTTCCTAGGAAGGTCCTCATGAGAGCCAGTTTCATCATAGCGTTTGATGGTTTTGGCGACTGCACTTGGGGATACATTCAAAGTTCCTGGGATTTTTTGGATTGACTGACCTTCATTTCATAAAGTAATGATGGACTGTCTTTTCTCTTTACTTAACTGAGTGTTTCTTACCATAATATGGATTTGTACAGTAGATGCAGTAGCACTAATAGGGCTATTGACTCTGTACCCACCTTTCCTCTGCACAAGACAACTGATGGTCTCAAGGACATTAAGAAGGCAAGAAATGTCAAAAATTAACTACTGACAAGGCATAGCTGTGAATTGAAAACCATTCCAGGTGACTACCTCATGAATCTGATGAAAGAATGCCATGAGTGTGCCAAGCTCTCATCAAAGCTAAATGTAGCTACTGTTACGACCTGCAGTATCCTGCTGTATGCCTTGGTTGTGCGTCTTCTGTGTGTGTGGCAATCTGTGCAGGTATGCCAATCCGGAATCCAGTCCGCCACCTTCCCCTGCTGCTTCGTGCCTGGATTTTGTGGCTGCCGCCTACGATGATGTCATCCAGAGGAGTACTTAAAGCTCTGCTCAGCTCAGCTCAAAGGGCTGATAAGCAGGCGTTGAAGGTGGCGGACTGTAGGCAGTTGGCGACAGCTGGATTGTGACTGGAGTGCTGACGGTAGGAAGTGGCATAGGCTCCAAAAGTGATACGGAAATGGAGGATGAGATGGTTTATTCAGATAGTGGCGGCAATGCTAGTAACGAATGGAAAAAAGTAAGAAATTGGAAAAGAAGCTGGGGTAACGTATCAGAATCAGAGAGTGAAAAGAGAAAACAACAGGCAAGAAGGAGGAAAGAGGAATATAAGGTACTGCTGAAATTTGTTTCAAACTCTGTTACTGCCATTAACCATTTGAAACTAACAAAAACAAGCTATAGGGACGACTGAAAGCATTAAAATACTGAGGGATGGCAAATTAATGCTGTTTTGCAAAGATAGTAGGCAACAAAAAATGGCACTGGGAATTAAAATTCTCGTCGGATATAAAGTTGAATGCTCAATTCCAGAAAGAAAGAATTGGATCAGGGGTGTAATAACAGGGATTCCAACTGATGTCCCAGTTGAGAATATTAAAAGTAATATAACTGGAGCAGCAGTGAATGATGTCACAAGGCTTAAGTGCATTAGGAATAATAAAAAGACTGACAGTCTCTCAGTAGTGATCAATTTTGATGAGAATAGATTGCCTGAGAGAGTTTATTTAGGATCTGTGAGTTACAATGTCGGACCATATGCTCCCCCGCCGCTAAGATGTTATAAATGCCAAAAATACGGTCATGTAGCAGCAGTGTGCAGAGGCAAACAGAGATGTGCACGATGCGGAGGGGAACATGAGTACAGGAAATGTGGGTAAGGTGTTAACCCTAAGTGTTGTAATTGTGGAGATGATCACAGTGCAGGATATGGAGGATGTATAGTGAGGAAAAACACAGTGAAAGTTCAGAGTTAGGGTGTTAGAGTGGCTGAAGGAATGTCATATGCTGAGGCTTTGAAGAAAGTAAAAGAAACTCATAAGGTAGTGGAAACTAGCAATATAGCACCACAAACAAACACAATACTGGAAGGACAAGGGAAAGAGAATGAAATGAGTATCGACAAAGTGTCATTTGTAGCTTTTATAGCAGAAGTGGTGAATTGCTCTACTCAAACTGAAAGCGGGACTAAGAGAATTAAAATCATTATCAAAGCTTCAGAAAAGTATTTGGAGTTAGATGGTATTTCAGTTGATATGATAAATAAAAGGCTAAAGATGCAAACAGTAAAAAGTCAGACATCATGTGGTGGTTCATAATGGTAATAACTTTCTTGCAGTGGAATGCAAGACGTTTAGTTGCTAATGGTCAAGAATTTAAGAAATTTATTTCAAGTCATGGAAATAGCCCGGATATTATTTTTGTACAAGAAACATGGCTCAAACCTCAGCTAAATTTTGTAATACAAGGTTATATCACAGTTCGTAGAGATGGGTATAAAGGAAATCGTGGTGGGGTTGCAACCTTTGTTAAGCAAGGGATTGGATATAGAATAGTTAAGGTAAGTAGGGAACAAGAGGTTGTTGTGGTGGATGTTTGGGAAGGATCTTGGAGTGTTAAAATAAAAAACTTCTATAATCCGTGTGATGGCTTAAGCAAGGATAAATTGGAAAATATAGGAGGAAATGGTAGTCAAAAGGTAATATGGTGCGATGATTTTAATGCTCACAGTACGTTTATGACGGAGTATAAATACGGATTACAATGGAAGGATCATAGAAGAAATGCTTGACTGGGGAGGATTAGTATGCATTAACGATGTAAATTATACAAGAATTGATATACAGTCAGGTCCATAAATATTGGGACATCGACACAATTCTAACATTTTTGGCTCTATACACCACCACAATGGATTTCAAATGAAACGAACATGATGTGCTTTAAC